CTCAGCAGTTAAGAACACTGGTTGTTCTTGCAGAAGACCCAGGTTCGAATTCCAGCACCTACATGGCAGCTAACAACTGTTCATAACTCCAGTTCCAGGGAATCCAACAGCCCCTTCTGTCCTCTACGGGCATTGCATGACACAGGTGCACTTATACCTACATGCAAGCAATACACACATACACACAAAATAAAATAAAATGAAAATATTTTTTTTAAATCAAAACAAGCACTGGAATGATATCCTCTGTATTAGTTATTTTTACTTTATTTCATTGTGACCATCTGACAGAAGCAACTCATCGGGGTTTTGGTTCACATTTTCAAGAATACAACCAATGGGCAAGGAAGGCATGGAAAGTGGGGTGGTGGCTCCATTTATAGTGAAGGGAATAGGAGGTCATGGCTCCTGACATCTTGTCACACTAGGAAACTGAGGGTATAGAATAGAAATAGGGCTGGGTTGTAACCTTCAGACCTCTCCCTCACTCCCAGTGACCCACCTGGAATAGTCAGCCCCCACATCTTCCCAACAGTGTCATCATTTGAGGACCAGGCATTCAAACACATGAACCTATGGGAGACATTTTAGTTCAAAAGTATCACCTCATGTAGCTATCATTGTCCATGTCTAAGTATAGCTGAAGGAGAATCCTGTATTAGGGTTCTCTAAAGAATCAGAATTGATAAATATTATAAAGGATACAATCAGACTAGTCCAACAATGGCTGTCTCATGCCATAGACACCAGATCAAGATAATACCCCACAGACATGCCCAACCTGATATAGACAGTACTCCCTCCTTGATTCTCCCCCAAGTGATTGTAGGTTATGTTGAGTTGACAATTAACTAAACGTTAGAGATCCCTGCAAGTGGGACCCCCCCCCCATAATTCAGTAATTACTATCAATTAGTTTTCTATAGAGGTACCAATTTCAGTCCCATGAGCAATTAACAAAAGTTGCTGTTTATTTAGCTTTACAAAATACATGTTGTTTTTGCCAGTCTTAGGGGATATAACATTCATTCTCAGCTCTAATCATGATGCGGGTCGGGGGGATGAGGGACAGGGGACTGGAACAGTGTCTCGGTGGTGAGGAGTACACCACCCATGTCAGACAGCTCACAGCTGCCTGTAACTCTAGCTCCAAGGGACCTGACACCCTCTTCTGGCTTCCAAGGGTACCTGCACTCAAGTTGCAAAAACCAACACACATTAATACATTAAATTTTTGTTTTATTTTGGGGTTTTTTTGAGACAAGATCTCCCTGTAGACCTGGTTGGACTAGATTCCCTCAGAGATCAGCCTGCTTCTGCCTCCCAAGTGCTGGAATTCAAGGTGGACACTATCAGGCCTGCCTAATTTCAATTTTTTTTAGAGCTGTTTGATGACATTAGAAACTATTTATTTATTGTCTTCTATCTAGAAGTAAATACATGTGTGAGAGTATGGGTGCACATGTGGAGATCAAAGGACAACTTTTGGGGAGTCAGTTCTCTCTGCTTACTATGAGTTCTGGGCATTGAACTCATGCCTGCCCTCTGGTTCATTCTTCTATCTACAATTTTTTTTTTTTTTTTTTAATCCTTTTGAGACAGTGTCTCCCAGTAGCCCCAGCTGGCCTGGAACTCACAGAAATCCACCTGCCTCTGCCTCTGCCTCCAGAATGCTGGGAGTAACGGCATGCACCACCATGCCTGGCTAATTTTTACGTAATTATTTCATTTTATGTGCATGAGTGTATTGCCTGTATGTAAGTAAGTGCACCCATGTCATGCAATGCCTGGGAGGACAGAAGAGCACGTCGGATCCCCAGAACTGGAGTTATAGACAGTAGTTATCTGTCATGCAAGTGCTGGGATTTGAACCCAGATCTTCTGCAAGAATAACCAGTGCTCTTAACCGCTGAGCTATCTCTCTAACCCATTATTTTAAAAACTTACAGGTTAAAAAACATTTCATAGCCAGGTGGCATGGTGCACACCTTTTGTCCCAGCACTGACAGAGGGATACAGGTGGATCTCTGTGAAATGGAAGCCAACCTGGTCTACAATAGCGAGTCCCATGCCAGCTGGGGTTATAGTGAGACCCTGTCTCAAAAGGACCAGAAAAAAGTTCATATGCCAGTTGTGGTAGAGCACACCTGTAATCCAAGCACTTAAGGAGGTAGAGTCAGAGGGAGTCATCCTGAGCTACATGGCAAGTTTAAGAACAACCTAACTACAGTTGAAATAAAACAAAATAAGTATTCTTGTATTTAAATTTTAATTTTCCTAGTGTTCTTGTTAGCTCTCTGTTGCTGTGATAAAACACTGACAAGGCCTAGAGAGCTGGCTCAGCAGTTAAGAGCCCTGCCTGCTCTTGCAGAGGACTTGGGTTTGGTTCCCAGCACCCACATGGCAGCCTACAACTGTCCATAACTCCAGTTCCAGGGGATCTGATACCCTCTTCTGGCTCCTCAGGCATTGCATACATAAGTACACTTAAATACATGCAAGCAAACTACTCACACATAAAACAGAAACAAATATATTTTTTAAAAACAAACATAAACACCAAAATCAAGTTGTGGAGCAAAGTGTTTATTTCAGCTTAGAATACAGTCCTTTATTGAGAAAAGCTCAGGCAGAAGATAAAGCAGGAACCTGAAGGCAAGAAGTGGAAGGAACTGGAGCACAAGTCACAGAGGAATACAGCTTACTGGCTTGTTGTCTGGCCTGTGCATTCTTTTTTTTGTTTTGTTTTGGTTTTTTTTGAGACAGGATTTCCCTGTAGCCCCAGCTGACCTGGAACTCACTATGTAGACCAGGCTGTCTTCAAACTCAGATACCTACCTCCCAAGTGCTGGGCCGCCACCTGGTTTCTTATATAATTGAGTACTGCTTGCCCAGTTCTAGCATTTCACATAGTGGTCTTGGCCCTTCCACATCACTCAGCATCACTCAACATTCAAGAAAATGCCTCACAGACATATCTGCAGGCCAATTCCCTAGAGGAGAGTCCTCATTAAGGTTCCCTCTTCCTAGGTATATCAAGTTTAACACTGAAACTATTTAGCACAACTAGATTCAAATTATTCATACCTGTATTTCTTGTAGTTTGAGCACAGTGAATATTTGCTCTTTTTTAACTAGACGCAAAAAGAGTAGAGGAATAAAAGTGAGGGACTGGGAAAATAGCTCAGCAGTTAGAACACTGGCTGCCCTTGGAGAGGACCCAAGTTCACTTCCCAACACCCACGTGGCAGCCAACACTCATCCTTAACTACAATTCCAGGAACTCTGACACCCTTTTCTGAAGTGAAATCTGAATGAAGATGGCTAATAGTATTTGGCATATGTTAACTATTTTAATTTTCCACTAAAAGTCTGAAGTAAAAATATTTAAGCTGTATAGTTTAGTGATACATATTTTTTTAATTATTATTTTAATTTTGTGTGTATTGCCTGCATGTATGTAAAGTGCACCCGTGTTCTGCAATGCCCTTAGAGGTCAGAAGAGGGTGTCAGATCCTCTGGATTGGAGCTATGGCACCATGTGGGTGCTAGGAATCGAACCTGGGACTTCTGTAAGAGCAGCCAGTGCTCTTAACTACTGAACCAACTCTCTAGTTGCACATACATATATATTTTAAAACCATCTATCAGCCAGCCATCCAAAAGTAAATACTGCTTGCTTACGTGGAGATAGTAGCTCATGCCTTAGAAAATGGATATCACAAGGAGAATGTAGAAAGTGAAAATAGTAGAGAGTAGAGACCACAGTTCACCAAAATATGACTAATAGGGAGAGAAGAGCATGTTTATCAGATCTGAGAAGAACCAAGAGAAAGAGGTACCACAGAAGCCAGAATAAAAGCTCCCCAAGGGCTAGTGATGTGGCCCAGTGACAGATTATTTACATGACATTTGTGAAGCTCTGAGTTTGAGCCCTTACACTGTTTAGGCTATGGGGGGGATGCAGTCCCAAAGAAAGACGGGTTAAAATACAGGAAATACTATACTGAGGTCAGGGAAAAGAGCCCGTTAGATTTTTTTGGACTGTGTTAGGAGTTTCAAGACGTGTAGTAGAATTTGCAAAAGAAACAGAAGAGAGAACTAAGATTAATGAACTCAACTGAGGCAAGAAACCAAGTATTTCAGGGGGACACTTGTGTGTCTTAGAGGTTTTTTTCTTCGCTTATTTTTCATGCAGTTTCTGTGACAGAGGATTAGAGAAAGCAGTAAGTATATGACCTTTTTAATAATTTGTGTTTTTTAGAGACCCCCTCCTTCAACAACTGATATAAAGACTCCAACACCAAAGTTTGACTTACTAGTTTCAAATTTTCCTCCATTACCTGGAAGTTCATCAAGAATGCCAGATGAACTTCTTTTGGATAATCGAGTGTCTGATATCGTTAAAACTGTCTACAAAGAAAAGGTAACGACTAAAGCACGGTATCAGGGTTTTTAATTTTTTTTCTTTTAACTTTATTATTTTTATTTTATGTGTATGCATGTATTGCCTACATGTAGGTAAGTGCACCTGTGTCATGCAGTGCCCACAGAGGTCAGAAGAGGCTATCGGATCCCCTGGGACTGGAGTTTCGGACAGTTATTAGCTGCCATGTGGGGGCTGGGATTTGAACCTGGGTCTTCTGCAAGAACAACCAGTGTTCTTATCCACTGAGCCATCTCTCCAGCCCCTATTGTTATGTGTGTGTGTGTGTTACTTGCATGTTCATAAGTGTACCCATTCATTAATGCCTGTCCTAGTCAGAAGAGGTTTTCGATCCCTGGAATTGGGTGCTGGACACCAAACATGGGTCCTCTGCAATAGCAGCCAGTGTTCTTTACTCCTGAGTCATCTCTCCCCCCCTGTTTTTATAATTTTTTATTTGCACATAGTATTTACAGTTTTAAGTCCTGTAGTTTTCATCATACTTTCAGTATTTTAAAGACTGTATTTTATAGCTAGGCATGGCATGCATACATACATACATTTAAAAGTTTTTAATTGCTAGCTGGGCGTGGTGGTACATGAGACGTAGAGTCAAGTGGATTGCTGTGAGACCAAGGCCAGTCTGATCTACATAGCAAGTTCCAGGTTATCTGAGGCTACAGAGAGACCCTGCCTCAAAAAGATAAAAAAAAAAAGACTGATATGGAACTTGAGAAATAACTCAGCAGTTAAGAGCACTGGCTACTCTTGCAAAGGGCCTGGGCTTGGTTCCCAACAGGCACATGGCCACTAACAGCCATCCATAACTCTAGTTTCTAGGGGATTTGATGCCTTCTTCTGGCCTCCATGGGCATTGCACAACATGGGTATACTTACTAAATACACTCAGGAAAAGCACTCATACACATAAAAGAAAAATAATTTTTTTTAAAGGCTATATATATTCTGGACATGGTGGCACATGCTTTTAATCCCAACCCTCAAGAGGCAGGGACAGGTGGATCTCTGAGATTGAGGCCACTCAGTATACGTAGGGAGCTCCAGAGCAGCTGTGGCTTTACGGAGACCCTGTCTCAACTATATAATAAAGCTTCACAAAGTCAAGGATGTATTATTCCCTGACTTTTGCATGCCATGCCTTTTGTGTCAGTCAACTCAACTTTTTTGAATTAATTAATGCAGAAAGAATTATAAAGTGCTCTTTTCACCAAAGTGCCTATTACTTCTAAGCTAATTTAGTAAACTTAGTCTTCCCAAGTGTAGGTGTCAACAAGTGTGAAAACTCCCATCTATAAATTTGTTAAGATTTTTATTTATTTTAAGTGTGTGTGTGTGTGTGTGTGTGTGTGTGTGTGCATGCGTGCAAAAATTCTCGAGCCCATGGAGGCCAGAGGTGTTAGATCTCCTGAAGCTGGACTTAGAAGTGGCTGTTAGACACTTGTTGTGGGTGCTGGGAATCAGAGTCAGGTCCTCTGGATGAGCAGGACATGCTCTTAACCACTGAGCCATCTCTCCAGCCCCAACCATTTGACAGTCATTCCTTACAAGGAAGCACATAAATGTAGAGGTTGTGTAGAGGTCTGGAATCAGTTCAGATCTTCCACCATGGGTTGTTTTGTTGTCAGGGTTTGTTTTGTGTTGTGTTGAGAAAACACTCTGCTTTCACAGGAAAGCACACACGTAGAGGTCAAAGGACAACCTGTGGGAGTTGGTTCACATCTTCCACCATGGGTTCTAGGGATCTTACTATGGTCATCAGAATGTATGGCTTGATTTTTACCCACTAAAAACATATTCTTTTATTTGGGGGGGATCATTTTGAGACAGGGTCTCCCTGTAGCCCCAGCTGTCCTGGAACTCACTATGTAGACCAGGCTGGCCTTGAACTCACAGAGATCCACCAGCCTCTGCCTCGGGAGTGCTAGGATTAAAGGCATGCGCCACCACGCCTGGCTTAAAAACTTACCTTGTAATGGAAAAAAAGCAGCAGTTCCCTGAAATTCAGCATTTTCTAATTCATGCTTATGGCTAGGGTGTCATTGATTATAAGACATCCATAATTTCAGAATCATCACTAAATAAAAGGCACTGTCAGACTAGAATGTGCCCTCATTTATGAATCATGACTCAGTATTTTTTGTTTCATAATTGAGCCCCATACTATACTGTTCATTTGTTCACTGTCAGTGGCCTGCATGTCTGATTCGACTTCCCTTCATCACAATTTAGGTTGTTTTTCTTTAGTCCCCTTACTGCTTCTCCTTTGGCCCCTGCTACCTTATGTATATGTGTGGGCATGGATATACCGCAGCAAAAGTGTGAGGGTCAAGTGAGAAGTGTGGGTGTCGTTCCTTTCCTTTCATCTTGTTTGAAACAGGGTTTCTCTTGTTCACTGCTCTATATGCTAATATTTGATGGTCCCTGTCAATCTAAAAACTTACCCATTCATCCCATCCATGCTGGGAAATTTTTTTTTTCTCTTTTTAATATTTCATTATTTTTATTTTATGTGTATGCATGTATTGCCTGCATGTATGTAAGTGCACCTGTGTCGTGCAATACCCACAGAGGTCAGAAGAGGCTGAAAGATCCCCTGGAACTGGAGTTACAGACAGTTGTTAGATGCCATGTGGGTGTGGGGATTCAAACCCGGGTCTTCTACAAGAACAGTCAGTGTTCTTAACAGCTGAGCCATCTCTCCAGCCCCCAGAAATTTCTTTTATTATTTCCTTAAAAGTTCTTTATCCCTCTTTTCACTTTTTTCTTAATTTTCTTCCCTCCCTTCCCTCCCTCCCTCCCTCCCTTCCTTTCTTCCCTCCCTCCCTTTCCACCACTGTGCAGCCCTGGCTGCCCTGAAACTCAGAGATCATAGGTTGGACCTTTGATATTATTTGGCTTTCCTAATTTTCTTTTTGGTTCTTTATATTTTCTGTAGTTTTCCTGAACGTTAATGTCTAAAGTTGCTGAAAATTTTTGTTTTACCTTTTAGTTCTTTTTGGTTTTGTTTGGATTTTCTCTTTAAAAAATATGATAAAAGATCTCAAGAACTTTTTTTTGTTGGTTGGCTGGTTTTGTCTTGTTTAAACGTTTTATTTCTTTTTGAAACAAGGCCATGTGGACCTTGTACTTTTGGCAATCCTGCCTTGGCTTCTTGAGTGTTTAGATTATAACCATAAGCCGTTATTCAGCTATCCAGAATTTATCTTGCAAAACTAAAACTCTTCTTAAACATGTTTCCCCCTTTAACCCCCCTAGCAATCACCATTCTACTTTGTCTTTATGAAATGGCTTCCTATATGCATCTGAAATAAGTGAAGTCATGCAGTGTTTGTCTTTCTGACTTTTTTTACTTAACAGAATGTCATCAAGGCACATACACTTCTGTGTTAGTACTTCATATTTGGCTATATTTAGACATTCACTCAATGGTCTTTTGGTCATTTCTTCCTTTTGGCTCCTGTATATAATGCTGTGGTGATCATTTGTATGAAAATCTTCCTATAGTTCCAGGTGTGTCCACTGTGCCTGGCTAGACACCCCCTAAGAGATAAATTTCATTGTTTTTTATGACATTTCATTATTTATATAGACAAGCTTTTATTTCTCTTGGTGACATAAGCAGAATTAGATTATTTTCTTATTTTTTTTTTATTTCTTTAATTTTTTTTTTTATGTGTACGAGTGTATTGCCTGCATGTAGGTAAGTGCACCCGTGTCATGCAATGCCTGCGGAGGTGAGAAGAGGCTGTTGGATCCCCTGAGACTGGAGTTAGGGACAGTTGTTAGCTGCCATGTGGGTGCTGGGATTCAAACCCAGGTCTTCTACAAAAACAACCAGTGTTCTTAATCACTGAGCCATCTCTCCGGCCCCAAATTGCATTAGGTTATTTTCTAAAGCAGCTACATACATCATTTTAATTTGCCACCCTCAGTGTGATCCTGGATGTGATCCTCCTAAGTACTGGGATTTCAGGCATCAGCTACCATGTCCTGTGAATGCCTTAAAAACATGTTTTCTCCTTCCTGGTTAAATCATGTTGAGCATTTTGTCATGTACTTACTGGCCAATTATTTATCTTCTTTACAAAAATGACCTAATGTAATTTGAAAATGTCTTTTGGCTTTTAGGACAATGAAGACTTGAGAGTTAGTTGCCCAGTGTCTGCAGAGGATGGACAGACAGACTGTGCATCTGCCCAGCAACTCAGTATGAGTACCAGTCCTCCGTGTGCAGCTCAGCTTCCTGCATCAAGGTACATATTTCAGTGTGAGAGGTCTTCAACTTGAAGTGACTTTTTCTTAAGCTGGGAGCAGTAGTACAAACCTATAATTTTCAGCCCTTTGGATAGTAAGGGAAGAGGATTACCAGTTTGACGTAGTCATATATATCAAAAGACCCAGATTCGAATCCCAGCACCCACATGGCAGCTAACAACTGTCCGTAACTCCAGTCCCGGGGGATCCGACAACCTCTTCTGACCTCCGCGGGCATTGCACAACATGGGTATACTTACTTACATGCAGGCAGTCCACTCATAATAAAAATAATAAATAAAACTTTTTTAAAAAAGCTTTAAGAGCCGGGCATGGTGGTGCATGTCTGTAGTCCAGCACTTGTGAGGCAGAGGCAGGCGGATCTCTGTGAGTTCAAGGCCAGCGTGGTCTACATAGTGAGTTCCAGGACAGCTGGGGCTACAAGGAGACTCTGTCTCAAAAAGATGGGCAAAAAAAAAAAAAAAAAAAAAAAGCTTTAAAATATAGATAAATGAATAAAATTTTAAGATAACAAACAGGAGCTAGGCATGGTGGTTCATGCCTTTAATCCCATTATGTAGACCAGAGATCCACCTGCCTCTCCCAAGTGCTAGGATTAAAGGCATGTGCCACCATGCCTGGACAGCCTTATTATTTCTAATATGCTATTTTATATGTGTTCTTTGAGCTTTTCATGACTGTATATAATGTATTCTGATCATACCCATACCCTACTTTTCCTCTTAACTGTTCCTGGACCCCTCCCTACCACGTCCTTCCCAATTTCATGTTGTCTTTTTAAAAAACAATAACCCAGCAGTGCTGCTCATATTCTCATTGGGCTTATTGGTGTGGGGCCATCCATCCCCTTGAAAAACCTTTCAATGGTAGTTCAACTGCTCCTGTGTGGTACACTCAGTCTTAACTGCTTGCTCTTTCTTTCCATAGCACAACTCAACAAGAAAAAGAGGATTCCATCATTCAGAAGAATGTTCTCAATCAGATGACAGTACCAGTTACGTGTCCAAGTACTACAAAATCATCAAGGGCAAACACTGCTTCACCATCTAGTAATACCACAAATGTACCCGTAGTTGTGGCCCTACAGGTAACATGAAGAGTTTATATGAGAAGAACAATAATAGATAAGAAAACTTTATTTTAGGGGCTATTGAGATTCAGTGGGTAAAAGTGCCTGCTGCCAGGCAGTCCTGAGTTCGTTGCTCAGGACTCAAATGATAGAAGCAGTCCTGCAAGTTGTAGTTCTCCTCAGACCTCCAGACACTCAGTCATGGCACATGTACACAGGCACACAAACACACAGAAAGTAAATAAATAAAGTGTAATGAAAGGTGGGTATGTTAGCCACATACCCTTCATCTCTGGGCACCTACACTCACATGCACACATCCCTATACACACACAATGAAGATCTTATTTTTTTTAATTATTTTTATGTATATGCATGTATGTAAGCGTGCCCGTGTCATGCAGTGCCCACGGAGGACAGAGAGGCTGTCAGATCCCCTGGAACTGGAGTTTCGGACAGTTGTTAGCTGCCATTTGGGTGCTGGCATTCAAACTCGGGTCTTCTGCAAGAACAGTCAGTGTTCTTAACCACTGAGCCATCTCTCCAGCCCTGAAAAAATCGAAAAAATCTTTTTCTTTTTTTTTTTTTAAGTAAATGAAAAAAATGTTTTTAAAGTTAAGTTGTGAAAGCATTTATGTTCATACATTGATAAACTACATTCACTACATTCTTTTCTTTTCTTTTTTTTTTTTTTTTTTTTTAAAGACGGTCTCTCTGTAGCCCCAACTGTCCTGGAACTCACTGTGTAGACCAGCCTGGCCTGGAACTCACAGTGATCCCTGTACCTCTGCCTCCCAGATGCTGGGACTAAAGGTGTGCACCACCATGCCCAGCTAAAGCTAATCCTTTCTATTCTTTAGAAATGTGCTCCATAATTTTTTTTCTTATCCTTTCAAAGGAACCTCGAAAGTTAAGTTATGCTGAAGTGTGCCAGAAGCCCCCTAAAGAGCCATCTCCAGTTCTTGTACAACCACTGCGGGAACTTCGCTCCAATGTCGTGTCTCCCACCAAAAATGAAGAGAATGGAGCTCCTGAAAAGTCTGTTGAGAAGCAACACACAGAAACAAGGGCTAGTAGGGATTATTCTGGCTTCCGAGGCAATACCATTCCCAGGGGAGCAGCTGGAAAAATCAGGGAACAGAGACGCCAGCTTAGCCACAGGGCTGTACCTCAGGGAGTGACTCGGCGCAATGGCAAAGAGCAGTGCATGCCGCCCAGATCACCAAAGTAAAAACACAGCAGAACTATTCAGACACTTCTTTCTTCCCACTAAACTTGAGCCTATATTGAACTGTTCTGGAGAGGAGGGAGTAGACAGGAAAGAAATGGAAAGTATGTTCTTAAATCATTATGGATTTTGGAATTGTGAGTAGTAGGATCCCAAAATTCATCTCTAAAGTGATTTTTTAAATGCTGGAGGATTTTAATCAGTATAAATATATCAGATTTAACTTGGGGGAGAAAAAGCAAAAAAACATTATACATCCTTCAGTATAGGAGTTGAGGGAGTGAGAGAAAAATATTTTTTGACGAAACATTTCTGTAAAAATTAGAAATTACTTTTTTAAATCTATTTAACATTTGGCTTAGAGAATGCCATCTCTGACTAATGGCCTTGTGTTGCAAAGCAGATCAGTGGCTGGGGTGTCTGTTCTGGGTATGCGTGTGGATAAAAATGAAATAAGCCAAATCTGTTGTCCTGTTAGTAAATGATTTAAAAATTGAATGTAATACTTGAGTAGATTTTTTTTTCTAGTTTGAAATTTAGTTTGTCTTTTTGACCTTACTAATACTATATTCAACAAGCTATTAAGCTCTGATTATACATGGAGATGTGACTACCAATCAGTTTGATAGTCAAGGAAAGAATGGAGGTTATTCAGAAAAAAAAAATTTTGTCTTAGGCCTGAGTAGTGAATAGGTCAGATGGATTTCAGAGGTTCAAACAGCCTTGTTTTCCCCCTTTAATATAGGAGATAAAGTTTTTGGTTCTCATTTGTTATTCTCTGTTCTTGGACTGCCCACCCCGAAAAGCAAAATAACCAAGCATTTACTAAATTATATATTTCTCACTACTTTGACCAATTTAGTGAAGTCATATAACTGTTCTAAATTTCATAATGAAATATTGAAGAATGTTATTCTACTAAAATAGTTAGAATTTTAGGTCACAAGATGGTAGGGCAGACGAACCTGCCAATAATTTGTTAGTGTTAAGGTGAAACAGTGTGCTGGATGGGCATAGTGGCTCATGCCTTTAATCCCAGGCTGAGGCAAGCAGATTTCTGTGAGTTTCAGGCCACCCTGGTCTACATAGGAGTTCCAGGCCCATCAGGGCACTATAGTGAGACCCTTTCTCAAAAACAAAAAAAAAAATGAAGCAATGTAACTGACTTTTTAAAATAGTATTAAAGTAGGAGGGGAAAAAAATTTAAGAATTTATTTGGGGGAAATCTTTCATTTGTTTGTTCGTTTACAGTGTTTATCCCACCCCAAAGGCAGTTTGGAATTCACTGAAACAAGTCAATAAATTTTTGAGGTGAGGTGAGAAAGATGGTTGAATAAGATTAATGCATAGTTTCTCAGTGAATAAAGGTGTAGCTGTCATATTAAATATGCAAATTCACATATTGTATTTAGACAATAGCTCACATGAAAAACCGTGTTCCATTAATTTGTTTTAATTCATACCATTTTTATAGTTCTGTGTGGGGTGGTGTTTTTTTCCCTTGGGGGATAGTTTATAATAGTAAGAACTGTCCCTTATGTTAGTGAGTTATGTATGTACAAACTGACACTGTAAATTGTGAACACTGGAAAGCACCGTTGTGACATAAACATCGTAGTAATATATTAAAAATGAATGTAAATGGAAGCGAAATTACATTACTGTGAAACTTACCTTCCGACTCTTAAGTTAAGCTTTAGGGATTTGTGTGAGTGGGTAACTGTTGAGTTTTGAGAACACTGCACATTTCTGTGTGACCCAAAATAATTGTTTCCTTTATAATTTATTCAGCTTGGCAGATGCTTTTAATTTGGTGGGTTGGTAACTTGGTATATTTACTTGGTTGGAAACTATTCATTTCTACACATTTCTTTCATTATCTACTAGATGATGCATACAAAAAAACTACCTGTACTAAAATTTGGGGGAATTTTAAGTCCTTTTAAAAAGTATTAATGATCTTTAGCTATATCTATGATAAAAATGTTTATTCTGGTTTACTCAGTGCTACAGTTGATGGAAATGATAAACATTTAAAGTGTTAACACCCTGTGAATGCAGTGGATTAATAGAATAAACATTTTGTAAAAATCACTTGGTAAGGATTATAGACTTTATTTTTGCACTTAAAGTGAAACATATTTTTGTTGTTTTCTTTAAATGTGTCATAGATGTAGTCCCTTAATTTTTTGTATGCTTATGTGGCTTGCTGTTGTTGGTCCATTAACTTCTAAAACTCTACAGGTTGCTTTTTTAAACAATGCTGGGTGTTGAACTTAGGACCTTAAGCTACACAAAGCGCTCCACCACTGAGCTATACCCCCAACTTCTAAAGGTTCTTACTGAAACACAAGAGCATTTTCTTTTTGAAGGTAGCAAATACTTTCTTTTTTTTTCTCTAAATGTTACTGAATGTGGAATTTTAAAAAACAAAGGACTTTGAATTTGCCTCAGTACATCTAAACAGTTCCCATGTGATGGGGTATATAGGGAAAAATAAGTGTGCGTGTGTGTGTGTGTGTGTGTTATACACAGTCTGTATTTAGCATTTATTTTACTGCAGCAGATTTCAGGTTTGTATGTAAATGATGCCTGTGAGCTGTGTGAACCTGGCTTTTCCCAACATTACTCTGATTGAGTGGCTCATTGTATTTCAGCTCTTCATTGGTTCTTTAGATGGAGAGATTCAAAGAAAGTTTTCTCTTCGCCCTTATGGCTTAACATTTCCTTGCATTGTTGAAGGCCAAAAGCAGATAAAGTGATTCTGAATGTGTGCTCCATCGATGTGCCACAGTGACGGATGAAAAGAGCAGATGCCACACAAGTTCATCACTTTGCACATCATAGAGAAGGTGCATAGAGTGGCAAGGCAAAACCTGTCTGCATTTCCTGTCTTGATAATTAAGGTTATCCTAATTGCAAGTGACTGTCTCTAATCTGAGTAGTCTCAGTTTTGCCAAATATACTGGCATTTAAAATAGTGGTACATCTAAATTTTTTTCCAACTGGATTTTGGAGACAGACCAGACCTTTCAATGATAAGGGTTTGTTGTATGTTGTAGTCTTACCTGCCTATTTGCATATAATAAATGACATACATATTTTTAATTTATCTTTGGTTTTTAATGTAGCTTCAATATTGTTTCACATTCCTTCTTTTTAAGTAACCAGATTTGCTTTGCAAAAGACAGAATTAAGTTAGCATCTTCACTTACTGTAACAACACAAAACTGTATTTAAATGTTAGGAACACTTCTAGTTTCATTAGTTATGGCCTTAATAACTCGTCTCTTGGCTTAAATGCTCACTGGCTTTACTCTTGACACAGTTGAACAACACTGGGGATAAGCTCCTGATATTTGTGTTGACGATACCATTAACCATAGTTTAAAAGTACCAATTCTGGCTTTTTACGGAAAAGATAAAAACCAAAAGAGGACAATATATTCCTTTTGAAGGTTTTTTTTTTTAATTCTTAAATATATAAATATAATATATGGTGGATTGATGGATTTTTTTCTAATTTTTTATATTTCCTTAAAATTTGGTGGCCATTAATTTAACTTTAGACTCTGGCATATGCTGAGTAGCTAGCTGAGCTTTCAAGAAGATGCGTGGACATTTCAGCTTCCATTAGCTGAATGAGGACACTTTAGATTCTCTCTTTAAAGTAACCTGATTATTAAATAGTTTGGTGTTTGTTTTTAAAACTAATGTTTGATGAGTTTTTGAGTAGATGGCTCCAAGCTCTGTGTCATGTGCCCTCCTTTCCAGTTTTATGGCACAGAACACTGACTAGTAGTGTAAAATATCTGTGTCAGTGTTGACTTTTTTTTTTTTTAACTGATTCAGCTGTCCCTTGAGTGCTGTATCTTAAATGTTGGGGGAATGGGGTGTCAGAACCAGTTATCTGGCTTCTATTTTTTCCATAGCTTAGATTTGTTCCTTTTGTTAAAACCATCACCCCCAAAATGGTGTGGCACATTCTCATGCATAACATGTTAAAATGAACATCTTTGTATTTGTATTTGTTTTCAACATTGCCAAGGTGCTATGGGAAATTTAAATCACAAAATTAGAAAAAAATAAAATTATTAAAAAGCAGGACTGGTTTCCTTTTCTCTCCAGATGGTGTATATCTAATCACTGTTTGTGTTTACTTCTCAGTAATTTTATGTTGTCCTAATGTTCTATGATGAATGTTCTGTCATCATTCTGGTCTCTTGTAGGGTTTGGCAGAGGGGGCCATTTTTTAATCTGCATGTGCACACAAGTAGATATGAGTTGGAGGCCAGCCAAGGCTATGTAAAAAGGTCACTTGCTCTTCCAGAGGACCCAAAAGTATGGATCTAATCTCAAATTATATTACAAAAGGCATAATAAAAATAGCATGCTGCTGGCACAGAAGCAGGCATAGAAGATGAAATAGAAAAGACAATTGACCCAGAAATAAGCCCACACATTTACAGCCATCTAATTTTTACAAAGCTGTCAAAAAACATTGGACAGTCATTGAGATGGCTCAGCCAATAAAGGAGCTTGCTGCCAAACCAGAGCACCTGAGTTCAATCTTAGGACCCACATGTAAAAGAAGAGAACGCTCCGTAAGCGTACCATGGCATGTTTGAACCTCTTGCCCCAGCCCCTCACACAAATAAATGCAATTTTAAAAAGTTCTTTTTTACAGGCTGGAGAGGTTGGCTCACAGGTTAAGAGTACTTGCTGTTCTTCCAGAGGACCTAGGTTCGATTCCCAGCACCCACGTGGTAGCACACAACTGCCTGTAACTCCAGTTCCAGTGTATCCAACACCCTCTTCTGGTCTCCATGGGCACTGCACATATGGTACACCTAAAATAAGCAAGCAAAACACTAATACACATAAAAAGAAAATAAGCCTTTAATGATAACACATACCTTTAATCCCAGCTCTGTGGAAACAGGCAGGCAGAATATTTTGATGACAAGAATATTGTCATCAAAAATACCTTTTTTTTTTTTTTTTTTTTGGTCTTTTTGAGACGGTCTCCCTGTAGTCTCCAGCTTGCCTGAAACTCACTGTGTAGACCAGGATGGTCTTGAACTCAGAGATCCATCTGCCTCTGCTTCCCAAGTGCTGGGATTAAAGGTGGGTGCCACCATGCCCAGCTAAAAGTTGTATCTTTTAAGAAAATGTTTTATGTGTATGAATGTATTGCCTGCATGTG